CCCCAACCAGGACACCACAAATGTTACACCAAACTCTGATCAAGTAAAACCGGAACTAGGTCTCACGGTCTGTGTAAATACTACACAATCAATGTCGCTAACACAACCTGTAACCTCCACAAAATAATGTCGTTAGGTGATGACATGCTGCTTGGCTTTAGTGCTGCATTAGCAGTACTACCGAAGGCAGTGAGAGGTTGCCTGATATGCCGATGTTTTGCAGTACACACTGTTTAATCCATGGCTTTGGAAAGGCTACAATGATAAGACACCACCTTCCAAAATCTTTTATCAATCTTGTTTAGACCTGCTGTCCTCCATGCTAATGCTAGCTGGAAGCTAGACCCTTTCACACATGAACATAAAACCTGAAATTATGTAGACATTACCTGGAGGAGAAGTATGTGAGACTTCAAATGTCCAAATCAGTTAGGACAGACATTAAACGTGTTGTCAGCTCCATTGTACAAAGTTCATGGGTGTCCGATTGAGCCCATGTGTGAATTGAGCTGGTAATTGTCTACAGAATTCACAGCGAGCAAGTGGGCATCGATGACGCGTGTATCACGAGGCGCCTGTGAATCCCGAAGAAAACAAACATCTGAGGGTGAAGAACAAGAGTAATTTAGACAAAGATGGCAACGACAATGAGTAAGTGGAGTTATGACGAGATTCAGGAACTTCCGTCAGTGGTCCGTAGCCAAATCATCAGACAAATTAAAGGGAACAGCAAAAAACACTGCTGTTTATGAGCAAATCATGACTCGGCTATGTGATTCCGGTGTACTCTGCGTCATGTCCTGCTTCATGCCACTCCTTGCTTAAACCAAACAGAGCATTTCCACTGGATGAGAATGCCTCTGACACAGACAATCTCCTGATGTGGGCTATATGTGTGAAAAGGAAATTCTGGATGATATATGGACCTGATTCTGCAGACATTGTCCTAAGTTCATGAGAAAACGGCTCCTGATATAACATTAATGTATCATCAACTTCTCTCAAAATGTTAATCCTACATGCTTACATTTTTATAAGCCCAAAACCTATGCCATATATAGGACAAAATCTGAAAAGAGAAACTCTCCGTTTTGGTTTAATCATAGCCAGCATTCCCATGTCTCTGTCTTTGATCCCAGAGACACTCAATTGTGTCTTTTTACCATTTGAATCCACACGCTCACCCCGTACAGACCCTGAGAGTAAAGCGAGGCAGAGGAGGAGGCGGCAGGACAGACAGGCATATTCTCTGTAATGAGCCGGGTTGAGCCTGAGCCAGACCTGGACCAGACCCGCAGTCGCTGGGTCCAGCTAATTATGCAAGGCTGCAGACAGCTCTGGCAGACAGAGGGGGGGACAGCAAAAGGAGAGAGGAGAAGATGAAATGAAAGAGGAGAAATGAAAGGAGGGAAGATGTATGGTGAGACTGACACATTTAGAGAAAGCAAATGAAAGACGGGGATATGCGAGAGATGAGGAAGGTAGCGGTGAGGGGAGACATGCACAAAGAGAGGATGAGAGGGAGCGGGGGAGGGACGCAGCAGAAGGGATGAGGTTTGTCCTTTGGCCGATGGTCAATTAGTGGCGGGGAGAGTAACAGGCCGCGGCGATCTGTGTCTGCGGCTGCAGAGAGCTCTCAGCTTGTTTACTCTTCTATTGAAGGAGACAGCTGGGGCACCTCCAATACTGAGGCTGCAGCATCATTAGGAGAAATAATAATGAGGTAAATGTGAGATGAAATGTTTCTTGTATTTCACTGGACTAAACAAAGGATGTCGCTCTAATACCTAGTGCTTGGAAAACATGATGTATAAATATCCGTTATGCCTATGACAGCAGCTTTCTGGAGTAAGATAACTTCAAATCATCTTAATTTCAGCAGTTTATTGAAGGTTTTGGATTGTTAAAGAAATCTAATAGGAGGATTACAGAGGAACTATTGGCCTTCTAGGTAAGGGATTCAGGAATACTACCCCAGGGGTACTTATGCAGCTGGGGATACATGGAAAGATATTAGAGTAGTCGAAATAATGTTAGCTAAGAGTAGGCCTAACTGATAAATGGTTTAGTTAGCCAAAAGTAATGGATAAATAGTTTAAATGGTTATGAGTAATGGATTAATAGCATGATGATATAGAATAATCAAATAGCCTAGACCTTTTTAAATAAATGAATAGCCTTGGACACAGAGAGGGTCAGACAGAGGATCAAACTCCGATAATTATGAGATACGGATCGATATTTGTGGGTCAGTGATATGAAACACAATAAACCAATGTTTAATTTGGCACCACAAATGGAATGGAGTGCGAGTCAGCGACTATGACGAGCACAAATTAATACACTGGAGCTGGAGAGAGTTTTATGCAAAGGAACAGGACTGTGTGCCATTGTTGCTCTGCAGTTGTAGGGGATCTGAACAGAAGCACATTCAACACATAGGCTACCAACAAACCCAAGATGTGTCAATCACCAGGACAAGGAACAAACAAACTGGAGGCCAGCTCCTTATCCCCGCTACTTTCTAGCAGTCTTAGGATGCAAAAGCAGAATGGGATGCGTTTTGGACGTTGCAGGTATATTAATGGAAACACTAAATACACGTTAGCCCAACATTGGCTAAAAGTTAATGGATAAATGGTTAAGGTTAATAGTTATAGTTCTCTAAAGGGAATGGAAAAGTGGTTAAAAGATTTAGCTCCTACCAGTAGCAGCATGAATGTGGTCTCGACCAAACTGACCTCTACAATAACAGTTTAATGTGGGAAAATATTATTGTTATAATAAGGTAAGATGTTATAATAAGTCACCCTCATGAATGGTTTGTAAGTTAAAACTAATTGCATAGAAAAACTTGAGGAATCTTGGCCATCCATTTATTGACAACTTATTATCATGTCTAACCAAAGACTTGGTGGCTAATTAGAAAGTGTAAGAACCACAAATATTTATCAATGGATCACCAACGTTTATCACTGCATTATTAGAATAAGAAGTAGCAGAAACATTAGAGATTTTTCACCCTGTCAACCCAGAAACTTCTGTCCTAGCTAATCATTGTTTTTCTCTGGTGATCTAGCAGTAATCCTATTCTGCTATTACACGCTAAATGCCCATAGAATGTAAATGTAATGTAAGCAAATGCTAAAGTTTTGGATAGGTGTCAGACACTTGTTTATGTTCCAGCATTTTCTCTTTCAGACTTAAGAGTGAGACAATGAAAGAGAAGAAGAAGAGAAGCCCCATTTAACTATTTTACTCCTGCGGGGCCAGTTTATGCGTTCCTGGCCAATCTCTATTGAGGGACGGCTGATGTGGGCAGACGTACGGTTTGCACCATCCTCTCCCCGGCATTCCTCTGTTTGTCTGCCTCTCCATTAAGGACATGTAGTCTGGCAATTATGTGTTTGTGTGTCTGGCTGTCTCGCTGGCTGGCATGGGCTGGGCAAAAGAGATGTGTGGGCAGAATGCTAACTCGGTCTGATTGTTAGGTTGTATCAAAGCGCGTGAAAGTGCATGCATGTGTGGAAGACTGTAGCAATGTTTGAGACCAGGGTCAAGATCATTATAATTTTATTTTGAAAAAATTACTTTACATTGCTGCAATTGTGCACCAAGTCACTGCACCTTCTTTCTACTATGCCTGTCTTACTGTGGTTTGTTTGAAAGCCCCTACTCTACATTTAATGGATAAAAGAAGCAAACACAAATGAGGCAATGACAAACAAACCCTCTTAAGCTTTTCGGGAAGACGTGAAAGGATGATGTCAGTAGGCTATACGAGAGAAACTTTTTTTTTAAAAATGGAGAAAAAAGCAGACAGACAAATGACAGAGGAGTCAAAAGAAACAATCACAAGTGACGTGGACATGGTGATATGTCTGGGAAATGGGAGGAGTGCATCTCATCAGTATGTACCCAATAACAATAAATGAATAACACTGCTACTTCTGTGCTCTTTGATCGTGTGTTTTACAGCTGTAATTGAATGGGATTGTCTACATTTAAGAGATCATGCATCGGAGATAATAAATGGTATGTATAGGCTAACTTACTGCAGCAGAAGACTGTCTTTCACTTTGAACATCCGATATGGATATAAATCGTATATGTATAAATGCTGAAAATAGTCATGCCCTAAATGTTAGCATTTTCATGATCACAAATGTTCTGTGATCAGCGCACAGACATGAAAGAAACCCTCTTTCTCTTCAGTGGTACAGTGCATTTACTTGGTGAAACCCAGCACATTTCATTTTCTCGATTTCCTGTCAGCAAACAAAGGGGAAACCTCTTTTGTCGAAGCTCCAATTCCTCCGCTACACCCCTTCTGTGCTTCCCTGTGATTAGGTTCAGAGCACATCATGGGGGTGAGGGGCGTGAAATCATTTGTGGTTGTAATTATGGGCTCCCCTCTCCAGAGTAATCATGAGCTATTAAAAACCACCCTTGGCTCAGCCCCCCAACAATGCCAGTTAACATCTATGTTCCTCTGGGAGGCTGCGGGGAAGAGGCCAACTACCCGCAAACGGCAGCGGGCACGGAGCTGTGTGAGTGTGTGATGTTCGTGTGTAGGCAGCACATGCTTGTGTCTTTTGTGTACGTGGAAAGACAAAGTATCACAGATGTGTGAACAGTTAGCTAAAACACTAAACACACTTGAAACAAAAAATATATTAACATAGAGCTGCCTTTGAGTCTATTCACTGCTACTTCTACTTGTCATTGACTTCATATGTGACTGTGCCATTTCTGAAATTTGCTTTGTTTTCAATCCTCATGCAGGAGACATCTAGCGCTGATTAAAGGTCACGATTAATTAAAATCCTTGATAACAGCTCACTTTTGCAAATTATGTTGCTGCTTTATAACCTATTCACCCCAAGCCTAAAGGGTACAGTTATTGCATGTTACATTTTTTGGATGGAATTTTTAGAAGTAAAACTGTTGTTTTACTAACAACATGAAAAAGGTCAACTGAGGTAAGCAGCATGACTTACCTCATCAAGAAATGAGCTTCCAATTGACTCTTCACAAAGCTCTGCCCCTCTGTGATGGTATGGCAAGCATCAAGTCAGAGTAAGCATGGAGCCCACACTGTAACCAACTGCGCTCCTAAAGAAATGTAGAAATTTTTGGAAAAATTAAAAAGCAGTTCCAGAGGGAAGCAGACATACGTGTCTATAATGTGTTTAAAGGTTTCATCCAGGATTTCAAACTCATTCTGCAGCAAAAACAGGTTTAAAAGATACCAGTACCTGAAAGCCATACTTGAGTAAAAGCAAAGATATCTTACCAGAAAATTAATATTATTATAATAATATAAATTAATATTCTACTAGGTTAAAGTCACCTAGTAGAATATTAGGGGAGTAATTAAAGTATCTGATATTTACTGTACTTAATTATCAAAAGTAGTTTTATAACATTAGGTTAAATTAAGTATTGAAAAAAAAAGTACAAGTAAAATGCTGGTAATAAAAAGCAAGCGGTCATAATTCTGAGGATTATGAAGGTTATTTCTCTGACCATGTACACCACCTGAAAAGTGGAGCGTATATTACACTTGAAGGATTTAAAAAAAACCTTTGACTATCCAGGGCTCTCCCTCTCTGCTGGACACAGTTTTCTGCTTCCATCATAAAGTCGGTCTCACCGTCAACTAGCATGTAGCATCTAATCTGGCATGCAGCCTGGGCTTGACTGGAAATCCAAACTTAACTGCAGCTTGAGAGCATTTGTTTGCACTTGCCCTTATGTGATTAACCCATGATCTGACTTGTAAGCTCAGACCATCGATTCGCTAAAATACTTTTACTCCGCTACATAGAAATGTAGTAGGGTAAAAGTGAAAGTTAACAGAAATATAAAAACTAAAGTACAGATGCTCCCAAAACATAATTAGATACTGTAACAAAGTATTATTACTTAATTACAACACTCCTGTGGAAACTTTTGTGATTTTCAACTGACCACGTGTCATCGCAGTGTGCACAGATGAACAGTGCCCCCCCCCCTAGGGCTGGGGCCCTAAGGTTCAATTTATGTATCACAGTGAACATTCCCCAGCATTACTGACATTTTCTTTGGACCCTCCCCTTGATTTATAAAAAAAAACTGCAATGTATTGTGTAACTGTAAGTATTTGATTATTTTAGTGTTTTAACCTTTTTTTACAATAGCCCTAAAGCTAAGAGGGGGTATGCAAAATAAAACATGAATGTACGACAACCTGGTTTTACAGAATTACATGAAAGGACTATGACCTCTTAACACCGCATTACCTGATGGTGCACATATGTGTTAAAATTATGTGCCGGAACCACAGAAACTATGCCAATATCCTTTGTTGCGGTGAATACTCGAATTCCCTGGTTCATCGATGTCATACAATGGCCAATGGTTAATGTTACAACCGCACAAGTAGTATAAAGAGAGAGAGCATTTGTGTACAGTCGAGGCTGGGGTAGTAGATGGGTTAAACAAACACTGGACTTTCACCCTGGAGTTTGCTGTTCTACTCCTGTGTGAAACCAAAAGTCAGTATTGACTTTTAAGTTTTTGCACTTTCATCCTTTATATAGTTATGTCACTTAACCACACAATTACGTCCCGTACGTAACAAACATAAGAGGTTGTGGTTATTTTACATATTTGTGAGATCACATTGATCTAAGATGAGAAGAAATAAAAGACCCTGCCATGCTCTTCCAAAGAGTTTAGACTCTTCTAAATACAGTCCCTAACTCAAACTGCTGAAGCCTCATATTAGTTTTGGTTAAACTTCAGAGGTTAGGATGGACTTTTTATGACAATAATTTTTTTAACAAGAGTAACGTAAATATTTCAACTTACTAATATTGCTAAAAGTCTAAATTGCTTACTTAAAAACTTACTATGGAATATGTTCTATATTGGGAAAGAGGGTCAGTGTTTCTCTTTCTCCCCCTCATCCCCTCCCTCCCTCTGACAGTTTCATAGGCTCTGTGCCACCCCTCGTAGCACCCTGGTTGAATGAACACAATCCCATTATCAGTGACAGTCAATTAAACATCTAAATGCCAAATTCTGAATGCTTGATGCGGTGACACAGAGGGCAATTGAAGATCGTTGGCCAGAGAGTGATTGGCCCGTCCAAGCTGGGGAGGGGAGAATTATGGTGATGACAGTTTCTGAATTAATATGTTTAGCTTGGAATATCAAAGTATATAAAAGTTGACGTTTAAAAGAAAGTATTTCTTCAAAGCTCGGTTTTTCTTGTCCCTGGTACGGGAGCTGTGTCTCACAAGGTGGTCTTACTGCCAACAAAGACTGCAGCAAACAACACAAATGGAAAAGGAGAGAAGAAGAAGACAGAGAGATACGGGGCCGGGAAGAAAGGAGAAAGGTCATATCAGGCATGTGTGTGTTTGCTTTATTGAGAGGGAACTCTAGTGAACATTTCTGTCACATTGTATTGACACAGCGGGGAGTAAGAGAGAGAAAAGGAGGAAGGGGCTATGTGAAAAAAGAGAAAAGAAAAAGACTGAGAGGAGGAGTGTTTATTCTCCTTTCCTTCCCTCCTCTGCTCAGTCTTTTCCCTCCCTTTTTGTCCATTCAGTAGTGTGTGTGTGTGTCTGCACACTCTCTGGCACACTTGAATCTTTTACTGATTACCTCACACACGTCACGTCTTTTCTGGAGTGCTTTTAACGGAGGAGGATTATCAGGCAGCCGGAGCCTTTTAACCCTTTCTCTGCCCTCCCTGATCCGACCAGGCAGCTGACAAATGCTCCCATTATGTCTCCATCCAAAAAGGAGAAACATATAGCTCTTTTTTAACCTTGATAACAAATAAATCCAAGAATATCATGTGACATGTACTTCAGCATTTATGCTCAGTGATCAGTGTGGTAACAAATACTTTATGGCTGTACAAAGTACACTATTTACCTGCCTTTATTTCTTAATCTGTCCTTTTTTTTACTCATCAAAGTGTGTTTCAAGGTCTTGGGTAGTGCTAGTGCATAAGTGAAAAACTTGTGTAAAGCCTTTTTGTGTTTCCTGAGTGAGCCGCATGGAGTTTGATAAATTGTCTCAAGTGATGTCACTTGTCAAATGATCGTTTTTCTTTTAGCTGTCCACATGAGTCGGACATTGTTATAGGTGTCCAATGATAAACTGATGGAGTACTCCTTTAGTGTATTAGCATTAGGAAAACAGACACATAAATGGCAAACGTACTATGTGTGAGGGGTGTTCCATATCATCTCATCATGATAATGCTGGTATAATTTTTAATATGTTATAAAAATTCATATCGTGATACTCGCAATATTTCAACTTTTTGACATATTGATGTCGTACTGTTACACACGGCAACAGGCATGGCTGTTGTGTGTAAAATATACTATCTATCTATATAGATAGATAGATATATATATAGATAGATAGATAGAGAGAGAGAGAGAGATCCCAGGGTACATTTTTTTTGTATTTGGAAGCTGTTTAAATTTAAGTTTAAAGATTTTATTTTGTTGAACTATTAATATTGTACACAGAATCTGAATCTCACTGAGTTACGGTTGTTGTTGTTTACAAACTAAAGAAATGAGAGATAATGTTTATTTAGTTTTAACTGAATATTTGAAGGGAAACTGTATGTATATGTATAAAACTATATCACTTATTTTGTTGCAATGCTGTGATGCAATGTTCTGAAATTAATAATGAAATATTTTTACTAGTTCGTCATATCGTCAAGAATATCGTTATCGCAAAAATAACCTGAAATATCATGATATTATTTTAGGTTGTTATAATATTATTGTTATATGTGGAGCTAATATAGCCATTTATAGTCTTCATTTACAAGTGGATTTTATGCCTCAGAGGCTTCAGAGCAATGGCACCATTGGCACTTTTAGCCGATTGTCAAACCATGCCACATTGAATTGCTTCTCTACCACCAGTATAAACGTGCCAAGTTGTGCCGAGTCACGCCTGAGATGGACCATCTCTGGAGGTCAAAGCGTGCCCCATCACTTCTAAGCTTTTCACTTTTGTCATCATTTCGGGACAATTCAGCATCAACATACAGTGACACTTCAGCAACATGTTTAAAGAGCCTCCGCTGCTATCACCAGACATAGCAAATAATTCATCCGTTTAAGCTGCATGTCAAAAGAGCAAAGAGAAAAGAGAATGGCAAGCACTCATCTGCGGTTGAACGACAAGCTTGCTGTATGTCTCAATAAGACTGTGTAAGATGATTGGCTATCAACTACCGTTACACAGTGCAATGGTGAACAGCGCTAAAAAGGTTGCAGCTTTCAAGTCAAGACAAGTGGGCCAAATATTAAAGACACACCTTCAAGTGAGTGTGTATGGAAATGCAAATCCCTGCCATGCTGTGCTGACGTTCCAAGTCAAACCAAATTAAGCAAAGGCAGCATGTGTATGCAAAAGAGCTATTATTTGCTATTATTCACTGAGCTAGTTTTTAATAGCAGCTAATAATATAAGCCATTTTGTAACGCAAAATCCATGCAGAACCCTTCTAAATATATCAGAAAGTAAAATACGACCTGATGTATTTCCATTAGCAGGGTTGAAATAGAAAACAGATAATAGGCTTCCTGAGTATCAATGAAAATAATTGCTGCCACATAGAAACAGAAATGTGCATACAACTAGAATGCACCAACTAATGGCTCATGATTGGAGCTGTGCTGTATGTAATGATTGCTGGTATGATGTGGGTGAACCAACCAAGTAGTAATTCACTGATAAATATGTTCCCTATCAGAAGCATAGTCACCCTTGCTTCTACGATGGCTACAGGTTTTCCACAGGAAATTTCACAGGATATTGTTACACATTTCACATTAGAGTATTTGTATAATTTCTAATCCATTCTCGTGATTTGATATATCAAAATTTGCAACAGTAATAAGAACAAAGTCAGCTTTGGTTGGCCCCATTATGTTGGTTGGTTTTCAAGATGTCCCAAGACAAATGTTCTCATTTCTTAGCAAAAACAACTCGCAAGATCCTGATTTTGTGAAAACCCACACAAGCAAATTTTGCCAATGACCCCTGATACACAAAGCAGCAAGTACATCAAGGGTCAGGTGCTGTAGTTAAGACCACCTAAACCGAGACCCAGTCATGACCAAGACTTTAAGAGATTCAGACCAAGTCAAAACCAAGACCTGACCGGTGCCAGACTGAACTGTCTGTCCATACTCTGCATTCATTTTGTCCATGTAGTGCATGCTTCCTGAGACCTTATGGATACAGATGATCAGGAGCAGTGCCACTGGAGATAGTGGAGGCAGTGTGGCATAGTTAAAGTGAGATACCACCATAGAAGACAACAAAGAAATGTAAGTAATAGCGGAACAGAATGATTAATGTGAAAAGAATTCTCTGTCCACATGTCAGGATGTTTATAATGGCTGCACAGACCACCACTGTTCACAATGCTGCCTCCCTTAAAAGGTATGTTATTATGACCTCCTCCACTGTCATCTAGTTTGTTGCTGTCTTTAACTTTTCTATACTATCATATCGGCGACACATGGAAGTATGAGGGCTGTGACCTTTACAAAGTTTGAAATGGATGTATCTATTTTCGTACGAAAAGGGAGCATAAATTAGCCTTAAGGTTACGGCCGATTCCTAGATGAGATCAAGCCCTTCAAAAAGTCGACCTTGAGTGCAACACAGCGAGGGTCACTGGCAAAAATTGCTTGTGTGGTTTGAGGATATTCTCTCAAAATCAGGGTCATTGTCACTGATAGTCACTCTTTGAAAGAGAAGTGAAAGGTTGTTCTTTGGCTTTATAGAGGTTTGTCTTTTAAGTGAGAACAGGGAGAGAGTATATTGTAATAGATGCCTGAACTGAAGTCCCTCATAAAGACAGATACACAAGGCCTCTCTGCTAGCTCATATGTGTGCCATCTCTGAGGTGGTCGGGTGTTTGTCTGTTCTCCCTCCCTCCCCTCATGTTTTCCTCTGTTTTATGTGTGTGTCCTGCCCATCCTCTTCCATTCAGTCCTCCGTTTACCATGACAATAGCTGCCTGCAGAGACCCTCTCCCATGTATAGCTCTGACCACCGCTGGCTACTGGCAGGGGCCCATTCACTGCTGCAACCCACCCTGGACCATAAAGGTCCTGGCAGGACTGGCTAGGCCCCCCTGTAAACAGCAAACCCCACACTTGTTGTGTCTGCCATCTATACTACCGGGGACAGAGGCAGGATGGTAGAGCTGTTGGGTTTATGTACTTGGTTTTGTCAGGGGTGAAAGAGGTGGGGTTCGGTTTTATGCACCCAATAGGATAGACCTGCACTTTGAATGGACAGGAAAACTGTTAAGGACAAATTGTTCGACATTTAACTTAAGAGAAAGAACAATCCACCAATCAATCGTAAACATGAGACAATAAAGATGGCCGCTGTGACACTGGCGTGAGCGTTTGCTGTGTCTTGGTCTGCATTCATAAATTAATCTAGTTTGGCCTCTGTAATATCCGTGCTCCGATTACCTCTGATTACCTCACTTTGATAAGATATTAGAACGGACTTCATCTTATCCCAAGGTAACAGTGTGAGCATACATTTCTTTGTTTAATATCCTGATTATGGATCAGGCACCGGTGGTCTTCAATCAGGTCATCCTGGACGCCATCAAGCAACTTAAATTTGAACTGCTGTCCCATTTTGATCCTATAATGGATAATATACAAATGAGCTTGGACACTATGAATGGGAAACTATCCATACTGGGTGATCAAGTCGCGGAACTTGAACATAGAGTCAGCTCAAACCAAGATAATATATTAGACCTGGAGAAACGGGTAAAGACCATGGAGGAGGAAAATGCCTACCTCAGGGAAAAGGTTGATGAAGCCGAAAACCGAAGCCGGGCATACAATCTCCGATTCCTGTATGTTCCTGAAAAAGCCGAGGGCCAGGATATCATGGGCTTCATGTTGCAGCGGATCCCCTCTCTCCTCGGCAAGGAGAATTTCTCCTCCCCGCTGACTTTGGATAAAGTTCATCGTACTCCAACATTCCTTCACCAGGATACTAAAGCCGGTCCGAGGCCAATCCAGTCCTTAATTTCCAAGATAAGGTGAAGATCACTGATTAAAAGGGGTGATATGAAAAGTTTGTTAGTTACATTCTTGCCTGGTGTAGATTATTATTATTATTATTACTATATTTTTTTTTTTTTCTTTAATTTATTTTAATCTTAACAGTAGGCCAGCCCCTAAAGCTTAAGGTGCAGACCGAGCTCTGTGGAGCTCCACTTTTCTTTTTTTTCATTGAGCTTTTGCTCTTTGTCGTCGTTTTTATTAATGTCTGTCTGCGTGTGTGTGTTGTCTGTGGGTGTCTGTTTGTGGGGGGGTAAGTGTAATGTTGTGTATGTGGATGTGTGCGGAGGTGTGTGTATTTTTTCACAATTGTTTTCCTGTCTGTGTGTTTGTTTGTTTTGTGTTGCGGCTGCTCCCTGCCTAGTGTATTGTCTGACCACTTCCCGTTATGCCCGCTAATTTGGATAAGTGTGCTACATGTCTGTTGATGATCATACTTCCCTAATGGGGACTGATGTTGTGAATGAAAACTCCTTGTGGATGGAGCACGACAATCTAGAAATGGAAACTTCTGTGTTTACAGACTACAAACCTTATAGCATGATGGATGAAATTGATCCAGATAATAATTTCTATGCAAAATTTAACCATAGCTGTAAATATTACTCAGAAACAAATTTTAATAAATGCATTGATCTGCAAAATAAAATATCTCTTATACACTTTAATTGCAGAAGTCTCTATGCAAATTATGACTCTATAATACATTGTCTGGACCAATTTAATTCACCATTTACCATAATAGTTATGTCTGAAACCTGGTTAAAATCAAGCAAAGGAACAGATTTTGCAATTAGGTGGTATGAAATGTTTTACACAAACAGGGAATGTAAAAATGGTGGTGGTGTTTCACTATATATAGACAAAAACTTTGATTACAAGGTGATAGAAAACATGTCTGTGGCTGTGGAAGATGTGTATGAATCCATAACAGTGGAAATATGTATAGGAAAACAGAAAAATATAATAGTAAGCTGTATTTACAGGGCTCCTGGAGCAAATATAGAGGTATTTAAGGAAGGGATGGAAAAGCTGTTCTCTTCAAACACCCAGAAAGATTTACTTATATGTGGGGATTATAACATAGATTTTCTAAATGCCAGGAAACACAAACCAACAGAGGACTTTATTGATACAATGTTCTGTATGAGCTTGTTTCCAGCAATTACAAGACCCAGTAGGATAACCCTGCAAAGTGCCACTTTGATTGATAATATATTTACCAATATTGCATATAATAATATAGTCAGTGGGCTTTTGTATAATGATACTAGTGACCATCTACCTGTTTTCATGGTGTATGATCATGGTGTATTATCGAAAGATAAATCAAATATCAAATACACACGAATAAGAACAGAAAAATCAGTTAATGCATTCAAAGCTGACCTATTAGCTCAAAACTGGGATTCAGTTTTGAAAGAAAATGATGTAGATTTAGCTTATGATAAATTTTTAGAAATATTTACAGGAATGTATGATAAGAATTGTCTACTTAAAAAGGTCAATCGGAAAAATAAAAGTACAAGCAGCCCATGGTTAACAAAAGGACTGATAAATGCTTGTAAAAAGAAAAACCACTTACATAGGCATTTTATTAAATATAGAACCAAGGAGGCAGAACTGAAATATAAAAAATACAAAAATAAGTTAACCACTATTATGAGGATCTGCAGGAAGGACTACTATGCTAATTTAATTGAAAGTAAGAAAAATAATCTGAATGACATATGGAAAGTACTTAACAACATTATCAGTAGGACAAATGAGAACTTTTACCCAGATTACTTTATGGAAAACAATAAATCAATTACAAATATGGAGTAAGTGGTGGTAGGTTTTAACAAATTTTTTGTGGGTGTTGGGCCCCAGCTCTCTGAAAAAATCATCGAGAGTGGAACGGAAAATTCTGGGTCACCAGGGGAATTAGTGGAGCTAAATCTGCATACAATGTTTCTTAAACCAACAGATGAAAATGAAATAATTAGCATACTAAATAATTGTCATAACAAGTCATCCACAGATTTTAATGATTTTGATATGACAATAATCAAAAAGGTCATGGCTGGAATTGTTAAACCATTCACATATATTTGTAATCTGTCCTTCCAGACAGGAATTTTTCCAAGTAAAATGAAAAAAGATAAGGTAATCCCATTATTCAAAACAGGTGACAAACATATTTTACAAATTACAGGCCCATTTCACTCCTCTCACAGTTTTCAAAAATTATAGAAAAGCTTTTTGTTAATAGGTTGAACGTATTTGTCGAGAAATATAACTTATTTTCAGACTGCCAATATGGATTTAGGAAAAAAGATCAACTGCTCTGGCGTTAATAGACTTGGTTGAAGAAATAACAAATTGTACTGACAAAAGGAAATTTGTAGTCCGTATTTTCATTGATCTTAAAAAGGCATTCGATACTATAGATCATAAAATTTTGTTAAGCAAGCTAGAGCGATATGGTATTAGGGGTACTGCTCTAGGATGGCTGAGAAGCTATCTGAATGAGAGACAGCAATTTGTACAAATAGATAATCATGTTTCAACCTGTAGGGATATAATTTGTGGTGTACCTCAAGGGTCGGCATTAGGCCCCATCTTATTTATATTGTATATTAATGATATTTGTTTGATATCAAATGTGATGAAATTTGTACTCTTTGCTGATGACACCAACATTATTTGCTCCGGCGAAAATTTACAGCAACTCCTGGAAACGACCACATATGAAATTAACAAGTTGAAAAACTGGTTCACTTTGAACAAACTATTTCTAAATTTGGATAAAACAAAGATTATGCTATTTGGTAAACACAAAACTGATGTCCCGGTTCAAATTAAAATTGACAATGTAATAATTGAAAAAGTAGAAGAACTACATTCCTTGGAGTGATAATCCATGAAAAAATGTGCTGGAATCCTCATATAAAAAATGTTTGTTCCAAAGTTGCAAGGAGTGTTGGTGTCATGCGAAGAGTCAAGCATATACTAAATTATCAGTCTTTACTTGCACTATATTATGCTTTTGTTTTTCTTTATTTGAATTACTGTGTGGAGGTCTGGGGCAACACATACAACACCAATTTGCATCCATTGATTATCCTACAGAAAAGAGCAATCCGTATCGTTTGCAATGTAAAGTACAATGAACATACTAATGACTTGTTCTTGAGGGCAGCTGCATTGAAATTTCTAGATTTGATTAAATTAAAAACTGTACAAATTGCCTATTGGGCGAAACATAATCAACTACCTGTTATCATCCAAGGACTTTTCTGTGAAAGGGAAAGTGCCAAGAGGTATGACCTTTGGGGTAAACATAAACTGGCACAGCAGCTCACAAGAACAACTAAGGGTTGTCTATGAGTGTCTCAGTTTGTGGAGTAATTATGTGGAATAGTTTGGCCGAAAGCATTAGAAATAGTAAAAGCCTAAGTGAGTTTAAAAGAAAATTTAAACAACAGATGTTTGATTTGTACAGTAGGGAAGATGGGGGTGGTTAAATTAAATTAAATAAATAAATAAATATAGGACAAATGTAGGACTGTTGAAGGAGTTCGCAATGTTTTTGTTTGTTTGTTTGTTTGCTTGCTTGTTTTTTTTATTTATTTATTTATTGTTATGTATGTCTTGATGGTGTCTTTATGTGTCTTTATGTATGTATGTAAATGGGGGATGGAAATTTAAAAGCTATGCTTCGTCCATCCCCTTTTCAGGCCAGGCGTTGTTGTTTTCTAACTGTGCTGGTTGCTGTGGTCTGGTGTGAAATAAATGCACTCAAAAAAAAAAAAAAAAAAAAAAGGAAATGGTGACCAGATTGTTTCAAGACCAGACATGGTAATAGCAGGCTGAGTATTATGCATCAGCATGTCCTATTAGTATTTCTATCCAATTTAAGAACCATTCCACATGTGTAAGAACACAGTGTACAGGGTATATCCATGGTGTTGTGTACTTATTTGGTCAAAACTGTAATGATTAAATTATTTTTTAAAGTGTTTTCCAGAGGGCAGTAATTTCTAGTATGGACTGACACTATCACAACTCGTAATTTTATTGGTCCAATAACTCCGGAGAAAATAGCTGCATGCATACATTCCCCTATTGCCATGCCCACTTTTAGCCAATTGGCATGAAGACAAACACACACCTTTACACACACACACACACACACACTTGACCTCACATCACTCTAGAGCACAAGACCAGCCTGTAAGAACTGCCCTTGACTCAGGTATTGCAGGTGTTGAAATAATATGGACGCTAATAACATATTTGCTCTGCATGATTCAGCACAGCTCTACTCAACAAGACTCGCCCTGCTTTGGTTTTCCATTAGCAAAAGTTGTGGACAGTATCTGGTACTTTCTTTGGTATCCGCGCTGTCGGAATTTCGAAGCAAGCTGAGTCAATACTATAAGACAGAGTTACTGCTGTGTTCCATTTTCCATGGAAGTCAGAGGTAGGAGATGGGAATGACGTCAAAACAGAGTTTGACCACACTCCAGTACATAAGCCAGAAAACCAAGCTGTAAGCAATACCAGTTAATAATAACACATTAAGCTTGATTTTGCACATACAAATACTGTAGCTACATGTCCACAGGTAGAAGTTGGACAGGACTGCATGTGCGACTGTTTTAATGTGACACAAATGACACAAAAGTGCTAATTAACAGTATGTTACTACAGATTTCACTATTGTTGATGCTTGGAGCAGGCATCTCGGATTTTGAGGTTAGGGGTTGGTGAGGTTCGTCCGACTTTCCGACTTGGAAATTCAACTTTAGGAGGTGTTCTAATTGGATTTTCCAACTAGGAAGTCTGAAATCTCGACTTCCAAATGCAAATTAATTGTGCCATAAAACACTGCAGACCACTGATTAGTCAGAGAGAATCGCCACTACCATAATGCGGGACATCCTGCTCAAGTAGGTTTGGCCCGCCCAGGGTTAGCATCTGATTGGCTTACCCTGACGTCA